CAAAATGGTCTCAGAGGCTGTCAGTAGAGATTATTCCAGCAGGAATTAACCATGTGCTCTTCCAGTTCCTTGAGGTTTATGTAAGACACAAGATTAAGGATAAAAGCAGGATATCTTAATAAATAAAGAGTTTGTTGATCACAAACTTGAAAATATGATTGGAAAGGAGGTGGACAAGACAATGCAAATTTAAACTGAAATCTGACATTGGAATTGATAATTGGTAGCTTCAATGTTTCAATTAATATGGAGAATTCTGATAATCCATATTTCTCCTCACTCCATACATCTCTTCTGTTGCATGGTAGGAACCCTATTTAATTTCTTATCTTGTCTGGCCTCAATTCAGATTCCTTTCTGTCCTTATTCATATCCCTTGTTCATGTCAAGTTAAGCCAATGCTGTATGAACTACAGCCTTTCTTCTTTGAGGTGGAAGGCTCATGACTAGCCCTGAGCTTGTTGCCTAGCACCTCAGCTGGCCAGAAAAATTAGGTTCAAAATATTTAATTTCCAAATTTAGTAAAGAATCCTTGATGATTATCAATTACTCTTGACACAAGACTTACATCTTATATCCAAACACTCTAAAAACATGTCAGAAAAATATTGCTCAATAAATCAGAAAGCTAAAACATTAGCATTTTTGGACTGTTCTTCTTTGAAAACACAGATCTCTTTTTCAAGGAACAAAACATGCAGAGTGCTTTGCACCCAAGCATACTCAAAGCTTCCTGTTCTTTGTAATTCTATCAGTGCTTTCTCAGAAAATGGCAATTATGGTTATTTTTACTTTTTTGCTCAACTATATGTTTTCAGATGACACTCTGCTTTACTGTGGAGCCTCTCAAAGTAAACCCAGACCAGGATGTGCCCCCTGCATATATACAAGTCCCAGCAGCATCAAGAAGGACATTCACATTTTATATCCCAAACTGTCTTAGCTCAGAGGCTTTACAGTGAGGCCTTCAAGAAAACACAAATGCGCATTTTTATGCACAAGCTTTGAATCTACAAGAAATACTGAAAGCAAGAACTGGAATGAAATTTTTTGTCCTGACACCTTCTGGAAGAACCTCAGAAAAGCAAGCATAAATGTTCTTTGAAAATTGTAGGAAGTATGAATCCTTCCTCTGGCTTCCTACAGAAGCCATCTTACAATGGCTTCTCAGAAATAAAACGATGGAGTCTCAGAAATAAAAATGTTTCTGTTTTCCAAAGCTGTATCTAAAAACCCTTTAAAGATTAATAAAATTTTTCAAAAATTATTGAATAATGTTATTAACAGTGCACTAGATAATAAATAAGTACACAACTAACATGGAGGAATCCAAATGGATAAACATAGATAATGTTCTTGTGCCTAGTTGCTAGGAAAGCAAAACCTTTAAAACAACTGTATAATATTTATTGAATTAATGTAATTTTATATTTGAAATACATGTATTGCTTTCTCCAGAGTGGCCATTTAGCAGTTCCAGTCAAATAGTATTTTGCTAGGCAAACCAAACTACTGATACAAACCAGTAACATAATAAAGGTTAAAGGAGGAGTCATATCACGTCACCTGGGAGGACCAGAAACGGTCCAAGGACAACCAGACAACTCATGCAAATCATGCAATGGCAGATGCAATTTTAGAATTTGATAAATGTATTACTTCTTGCTCTAGTCTCAGCTGGAAATGAACTAATTCTCATTGCATCTGCAGCACTATAAATGCAAATCTGTCAAGGACCTTGTACTTACAGTGACTCAGCTCTCCTTGGGATGAAAAAATCCGAGGGAATATTACCAAACAGAAAGCTCAAACCCACATGCAATTAAGTTATGAAAGACATATGAAACACGCAATATGACTATAGATACAGATTAGGCACATTTGAAAGAAGTCCACCATGGGCCCTTAATGGTGTATATGTGATTTCCCATTCAGGAAGTATTAAAAAGATGGTTTCTGTGATCTAGGGAAAAATCATAAAATTGTGGAATGATAGAATACCAGGCTGGGAGGGATCTCAAGGATCATCAGATCCTTTCTTGACAGAAGTATGTTGAGAGAAGAATCCTTAGTGTCCTTTCCATTGCCTTCCCCAAACATCTGGCAGTGGCCACTGTCATGGATGGAAGAGGAATCTCTTTTGGCCTGACACTACACTGACTTCTGTGTTCTTATGGTCTTATCCACAGATCTTTTTCTTTACTGGAGTGCCCTTTACTGATATTCTTTAAAGTTTGTTTTGCACTAAAAGAGCAGTTTTATTTGCATGTATTCTATGTACTAACACATTTTATGGGCCTTTGAGTTTTTCCTGCCTGTGTATCAGACAGCTGTTTACAGGACTTAGATATATTTTAAACTTACAGGGTAATCAATTTCCATGCTTTGATTTTGTTTTTTTTTTTATCTTTCCACTTTTTGTGGATCAAAATTTTTTGAATATTCATATGGCCTCTTGTTGTCTCTGTATCTCATCCCTGTAGCTCTATGTAAGCACAGTGGACATTCAAAGATGTAAAAATGCTCCTGAAAAGTGTTTTGTACATAATTAGCACATGTGTTCTTCAACATTTCTTCATATTATACAGAGGAAAAAAATTATAAAGGTCCTTGTAAAGAGACTGAAAAAGTCATACTGTCTTCACTGGTTTTAAATACAACAAAACATCTTGGGCATAAAAAGACAACTCTCTTTTCCTATATTTTTACTTGAATCCTGCAAGAGGGTACTTTAAAGTAATTAGGCAGGAGAATAGGCATCACATGCCTACTATGAATTATCTCATAAGCATATTATAAATTAAGGACTCACCACCAGCTTGGTTCACGAATAGTTGTAACAAGGTTTTATCAAGGCCATAAGATGGGAAAAGGGAGAAGAGAAAATGAAAGTAAGTGCATTCCATTTGTTCAGCAGAGAGAGGAAAGGCAGCAGTAGCATTGGAGAAAAATCAATCAAACAAACAAACCAGAAAAAAAAAAACCAGACAGGAAAGAAGCTGAGAGGTCAGTGAGGGAAATGGCCAGCTTTACAAGCGTTTTTGAAATGAAACTTGGCTGCAAGTCAGCTGCACCTCGAGTAAACAAATGAACAGAAAAGTGGCAGGTAAGTTTCAGTATAGATAAAGTTTCAGCATAGATAAAGGTGAGGCAGTGCAGATCCAAAAGTGTCATCAAAACCTTGTGTACCTGATGCTGAACTTAGCAGTGGCACTTATGCTCAGGAAGGACATCTTAGTCACTGTTGCTTCTCCTTTGAAACCAATGGCTCTGTTGGGAGGCAGCAAAGAAAAAAGTCAACTTAAAGCTTAGTATCACCCCAAAACAAGGTAGATTGCATTACTCTGCTGGTCTGTGAAACTTTGGTTAAATGCAACCTGACTAATGGTACAGTTCAGGTCTCCACATCTTAGCAGGACTGTACAGTTAAAGAAGTTATCCTTGTTTCTAACTGATCAAGGGGATGAAGCAGCTGCCTTACCAAGGGATAGAGGCTGTAATTTCTGCCATCAAAAAGATGAAGGGGAAATCTGAGTGATCTTTAAAAATCCTGTAGGTAATAAATAAATTGAATGTTGAACTGTTATTCACCACAATCAGTAATATTATTTGAAAGGACATTTGTTGAAATAAGGATGTGAGTTTAAAATTTATAAAGTTTTTATGCAACAGTAGAATTTCTGGAATTGGGGAAACTCCACAGGGGTTTGTGGAGGTAGATTGTATCACAGAGTCAACAACAGATTTAGCCAACTCCATGAGCAAGGGTCCACAACAGGTGCTGAAAGGGAAAGATGAGGATGTACTGTTTAACATTCCCAATTTGGTGACTGTGGAAACTGGAGGAGCACAAGGACTAGGAGAAGGGACCATGGATAAGACAGGCATGCACAGCGTGTCATTCTGCCAGACAAAATATTGGCTGAGAAGAGCCCCTACTCTCAATCAGTGCATATTATTATGGTCTTAAAACTACCTATTGGCTTCCTGTATAATGAACCATATTTTACCCTGTTTCTTCTGGTATCCATACCCAGATGCCATAGTATTTGAGTGATGTGGAATGGTGCTGGAGTTCTCAGGTATGAAACAACCTTAAAAAGAACTAAATGAATTTTGGTACATGGTGCTGGGACTGTATTGAAGAGCTTCCAAGGCTGTGTTCCCAGCTGTGGCTCTGGCCCAGACTTCCATCAGCTTCTTCGTGATGGCAGTTTCCAACTGGCAGTAGAGATGATTTGCAACTGGTACTGCCTACAGCTGCTCCCCTCTCACTGCAGTTACACTAAGTAAAAGGTATTTGTGCAAGTGTTTGAGATGACCAGAAGAAGACAAGTTTCCAAGGAATTTCTTGTAGAGTATATTAATTGAGAAAACATGTCAGAAGTTTAACTTTAGATACCTCTAAGCAGCAGTTCTCCAACTATTGAAAAAGAGAAGTTTTCTACAGATGTGCAGGTTTTCAAACATTTTAAGTTACATCTTCTGCAAATTCAAAAACTACAGGCAATGTAGGCAATTTAGACAGTTACTCATAGCAGCTGTCACGAGACTGTCTGTGCTATTGCTATTTGCAGTGTTCCTGGTTCCTACATCTGAGCTGATGAAAGCTAAAATTGACTATTGCAAAATTGCTTGAAAAATGATAACAGGCTTCTAAAAGTCCAGTTTACTCCCAAAACTATTTGTGTCTGTTGGTTTTGTTATCAAGGCACTGAATAACCAAATAAAGGAGGCAAGTTACTGATATGCCTGACAGCCCAGTGCTGCTTGGGCACTGCAAGTCAACAAAGTAGTTCAGTTTGGGTTAGGACTTGTTCGTCATTTTGGGCCAGTCCTAAGCAGCGGAGCATATTTGCACTAATATTTTTTTTTAATTTTTTTTAGAAGATCAGCAGGATTCAGCCACGAGAGCCCGTGGAAATGTGACTCTTTGCTGCTGGCGGACGGGCAGGCCGGATTCCGAGGCTAGGACATGGGATGTATCCCGTGATTGCTGGCGCCCGTCCGCGCACAGACCTGTTCCCCGCGGGACCGAACCCGTTCAACCCGGGGCCAGGGACGCGGGGCGGGGAGGGCAGAGGGGCGTTCCGAGGAGCTTCCCTCTGCTCCGCGCCCACAGGCGCTTTCCCGGCCGGCCGGGCCAAGTTTCGTTTCCCGCTGGCTCCTCCTCCGCCTCCGCCCGGTCCCTCCGCTCTGCCGCTGGCCCGGCTCGCTGCTCCCGACTCCTGGCTCCTGGCTCGCTGCTCCCGGCTCGCTGCTCCCGGTTCCTGGCTCGCTGCTCCCGACTCCCGGCTCGCTGCTCCCGGCTCGCTGCTCGCGGTTCCCGGCTCGCTGCTCGCGGTTCCCGGCTCGCTGCTCCCGGCTCCCGGCTCGCTGCTCCCGGTTCCCGGCTCGCTGCTCCCGGTTCCCGGCTCGCTGCTCCCGGTTCCCGGTTCGCTGCTCCCGGCTCGCTGCTCCCGGCTGCCGGCTCGCTGCTCCTGGCTCCCGGCTCGCTGCTCCCGGCTCGCTGCTCCCGGCGATGCTGGGGCGCTGTGCCCCGGGCTCCCCGTGCCCCCGGCCCGTGGCCCGTGCCCTGCCGCCCTCCGCCAGCGCCCTCCGCCAGCGCCTGCGCCAGGTCAGCGCCGCGGAGCCCCCGCTTGGCTCCCCAGCGCCGTGGGACGGGCGGGTGCCAAGGGAACGAGGGGTAATCGTTTTAAACGAAGGGAGGGCAGGTTCTGACCAGATGTAAGGAAGAAGTTTTTTACGATGAGGGTGGTGGAACACTGGCATAGGTTGCCCAGAGAGGTGATGGATGTCCCATCTCTTGAAACATTCCGGGTCAGGTTGGACAGGGCTTTAAGAGACCTGATCTAGTTTAGGGTGGTCCAGTGCTCTGCATGGGGGTTGGATTAGATGGTCCTTAAAGGTCCCTTCCGACCCAACGCATTCTGCGATCTCTCCTTGCAGTGTGCGGAACGGATCCCAGAGGCTGAAGCAATACTCGACCTGATGGAGAAATGCCCAGAGCACCAAAAAAAGGGAAGTTTTCCCGTCATAGTTTTTGAGGGGCTGGATGCCACGGGTAAGAGCAACATGTGGTTGAAAAACCTCAGATGAGAAATTGTTGAAAGGAGCAGCTGCTCCTGTTTTTATTAGGCATAAATCTTTAAAATAAAATTTTAAAAAATCTCGGAAACATGTGACAGATAAGGAATTAATAATTACAAATGTCAGTCTGTCTTCTCTTACCTGTAAAAGATTACTGTATGCTAATTTACATTCAGTGATTTAATTCCTTACCTATACAAATGAAAGAATACAGAGTGGAGTACTGAAAATTAAATTTCTCGTTCAGATGATGAAACATACTTTTACTGGAGAGTTTTCAAATAAATGTACTAAACTAGTGGTAGTCTGGGGAACTGCCAGCAGTTTGTCTAAGAGAGAAATATTACTTGCTTCTGACTAGCTTTGTTTTTTAACTTGTCAGTTAAAGAGAACTGAAAATCCTCATAAAAAGAAGGAATTGGATAACCAGCATGGCAACATTTACATAAATTGCAACCGAGAAAAAATATTATAAATTGATATATATGGAAATTGCCATGATTATGTAGAGAAATTGACATGCATTTAAGGGAGTGAAAACTGAAAACTGGCTAAAGGAAGGGCTGGAAGGCCCAGAGGGCAGGAAAGGGAGTAATAATTCCTGCAACCAGACTCAGAATCTTTTTCCACTGGAAACCTTATGACAAGATGCTCAGGTTAGATATTCAGATGTCAGAACCTGTACGCCACATGAACAGACAGGAGCGTTTTTCAGTTTTTAAAACTCAGGTGTATCTGGTAAATAATATAATGAATGTTTCCTTCTGTAAATGAAATGCAGGCAAAACCACAGTGACCCAGGCTGTTAAGGACGCCCTGAATGGCATTCTGCTGCGGTCCCCACCAGCCTGCATCAGCCAGTGGAGGACTGTATTTGATGATGAGCCAACACCCATTAAAAGAGCATTTTATGCTGCGGGCAACTACATTCTGGCTTCAGAGATCGCGAAAGCATCCACACAGGCACCTGTGATCATAGACAGGTGTGTGTATTTAAGAAACCCTCTTATATCAGTGCCATCATACAGTTGTTCAGTGTTACAAGCAGTCAGTGATCATCTCTGTGTTTCTTCAGGGGTTTTGTTTTGGGGTTTTTTTTTTGTAGTTTGTTTAGGGTTTTTTTGGAAGCACTCTGCAGAGAGTCAGATAAATATTGTATCTTCTAAAGAGTAACACTTATGATAACAGTAAAATACGGAACTTCAATCAATGTAATACTCATAACTAGTTTAGGACGCATGAAAATTGTTATATCTTCAGTTAGGAATAGTGAAGGAACAGATTGTGCATCCTGAGCTAAACCAGTGTTTTGTGACAAACGAGAGACTGTGGGCTGCTGCTCATGGCTGGTCATGGTCGTCTCTAAGATGTGTCTCAGATATGGGTGGATTGGAATGACTGAGTTTTAGGTAGACTTACTCTTTGTGAATTTAAACACAGAGATATGCTTCCCACTTTTTTGTTTGTGTTATTTCTGATTTTCACTAACTGTGTAGGCAGCTTACATTATTAGAGTTCATAAAAAAATCTAGATGTACTTTGAACCCTCTGGCTTATTTCAGTAGGTGTACTGTAACCTTGGCCTAGAACATATACAGACACACATACACACATATGTTGTTTGCATGTGAGTGCTATTTTCAACCAGCCCCAAATTCACTGAAATGTATCAAACACAATGCCTTGTAGTGGGGAGAATGTTAAATGCATGTGAGATTGGTAACATTAGTAATGCCTATGTTTATTCACATGTTTTTGAAGACTGTATGTTCTCTGCCAAATCTATTGCAGTAAGTAGGATGGAAACCACAAAAAAGGGGACTCAGAGTAAAGGATTTTGAGATATATTGTAACTCTTCTTTGACCTGTCTCAATATATGAGGAGACTTTCTTTTGATAGGCATATCTGAAACAGTCTCTACATAATGTTTTAATTAATAGTTCACATTAACTCTGAGTAGTGCAGTGAGTACTATCATTGTTAAGAAATAATGGATAGCACAGAACTGTTATTCAGATTTCCCTTCAAAGCCACGGTGTCATCTACCTCATCATTATTGACTTGTTATAATGCCAACTGTCTCCTGTATTACTGAAGAATTAATGTTCTCTTTAAAATTTCTCTCTCTCCATTTTGTATTTTCCTGACAGATACTGGCACAGCACAGCTGCCTATGCAATTGCCACTGAAACAATTGGGAAAGTTCAGGATCTTCCACCAGTTCAAGATGAGGTTTATCAGTGGCCTGAGGATCTTCTTAAACCTGATCTTGTTCTTCTCCTGACTGTTGACCCTGAAGAACGAGTCCGGAGACTTCAGCATCGGGGGTTGGAGAAAACAAAGGAGGAAGCTGAGTTGGAAGCTAACAGCTTGTTTCGCCAAAGGTAGCCTTTAATAGGGAATAAGAGGCTGGAGGCAAACTTGGCTCCTGTGGAATCAGTAACAAATGTGACTCTCACATTATTGGGGACAAGAATTTCCACAAGAATTTCTTTTGTATAAGCTTTTGTTTTAAGCTTTTTTTTTTTTGGGGGGGGGGGGTTTGTTTTTGGTTTGTTTTTTTTTTTTTTGGAAAGAATGCATGCCTGTTAGGGAGGGTAAATTCTGCTTTTCTTCGATACTTTTATTTTAGCATCTTTCTCAGTGAGGTCATGAATGAGATGGACTTAAGAGTTCCCGGACTGGTAGGCAAGAAGTTGAAACACACAGCTTCTGCAGGAAATTCTGGAACTGAGCTCCAGATTAAGAGAATAAAATTAAAACATCCTCTTGTAGATGTCTTTAATTGTGCAGAGTGTTTCAGGTACCACTATAGTCAATATATTCAATGGAGCCTTCAAAGTGATTAATCTCACCACTCATTTGGAGCTCAGTGATCTAAACTTAAGTATCTAAAGGCTTTTGATATAAGATGTGATGCAGAACCTGTATACATTTCCTGGGCTAGGAACTGGAAGCTAAATGAGATAGTTCAGAGCATCTCAAGCAGTACTAGGTACATTAACTTAAGCAAATGAATGGCACCCTAGGTATCCTGCTTCAGGGTGTGCTGAACTGCTTTCTAGGCTCTGCCAAATGTATTGATTAGATCATCTTTGTCTGTGGTGGAAACTCAAATACCCAGTGTTCGTGTAGACAGCTCAGCAGAGACACTTGAATATTGGTTTCCATATCTACAAGCAAGGCTGAAATCTGCCTTTAGGCTTTTAAATTTCTGGTGATAGAATACCTTAAAAATATTGTAAAGTCAAAAGTGTCTATAATTTGTAAAGCCAAAGTGGCTTTACAAAGGGGAGATTTTGCCTGACAAATTCAACATTGGTGAATGAGGCAGAGCAACTGATGACATCTGCCGGGACTTCTGCAAAGTATTTGACAGTGTCCCACATGACATCCTCATCTTCAGATTTGAGAGACATGGATTTGATCAATGGACCATTCAGTGAATGAAGAATTGTCTGGATGGCAGCACACAAAGAGTCGTGGCCAAGATCTTGCTGTCCACATGGGAACCAAAGACAAGTGGTGTCCCCTGGGTCACTTCTGGGGCTGATACTATTCAGCATCTTTTTGGTGACATGGACAGTGGAAGTGAGTGCACCCTCAGCAGATTTGCAGACAAGACCAAACTGTGTGGCGCAGTGGACATATGGGAGGGAAGGAACGCCATCCAGAGGAACCTGGACAGGCCTGAGAGGTGGGCCTGTGTAAACCTCATGAAATTCAACAAAGGGAAGTACAATGTCCAACACCTGGGTGGTGGCAATCCCAAGCATATCTACAGGTTGGATGGAGAAGTGACTGAGAGTGCCCTACAGAGAAAGACTTGATGGTGATGAGCTGGCAATGTTCACTCACAGCCCAGAACTCCAGCTGTGCCCTGGGCTGCATCTGTGCACCATGGCCAGCAGGTTGAAGGAGGGGATTCTCCCCCTATACATTGCTCTTGTGAGACCCCACCTAAAGTGCTGAATCCAGTTTTGATATCTCCAACCTAAGAAAGACATGGACTTATTGGAGCAAGCTCAGAGGAGGGTCACAAAGAACTGGAGCACCTCCTCTATAAAGACAGACTGAGAAAGGGGGGCTGTTCAGCCTGGAAAAGAGAAGGATGAGTGGACACTTCATAGCAACCTTCCAGTATCTGAAGTAGCCTACAGGGAAGCCAGAGAGGGACTCTTCATCAGGAACTGTAGAGGTAGAACAAGGAGTAATGGATACAGATGGACAGAGGGGGAATTTACGTTAGCTATTATGAAGAAACTTTTCACTGTGAGGGTGGTGAGATACTGAAACAGGTTGCCCAGAGATGCTGTGGATGCCCCAACTCTGGCAGTGTTCCAAGGTAGGTTGGATAAGGCCTTAAGCAACTTGGTCTGGTGGGAGTTATCCCTGCCCATGGTAGGGAGATTGGGACTAGATGATTTTTCAGGTCCATTCCAGCCCCTTAACATTCTATGATTCTGTGATTGCTTAATTTTGAAAGAAACTCTGTGTGGACACACAGCTCGTATAGTGGGACCTGCAGAGGGATGAGTTAGCTAGGGAACATACTGCCATTTAAGCATCTTTTACATTTTAATTCTGTTACAGCATATTTGTGTCAGAAAGCTTCTAGTTATTTCTACCTGTTTATTATGTCAATCTGAATATGAGAATATCCAGAATGTTCCTTGGTTTGTCTTGTGACTTGTGTCCTAAATAGCATTATGGGAACATAATATTATGGTCCCATAATATTAATATTCACATCCTCATTCACACTCTCAAAGACTAAATGTGGGAGAGTTTTTCATTAGGCTTATAGCCTAAGTGGGGAGGTTTTCATCCTGTATTTTATCCTGTTATTCATCTGCTTAGTTGATCAGAGGAAGGGGTCGAACGATACATCAACTCGGTAATCTACTGAGTCAAAGCTGAGATCAATGAGTACAACTACACAATGCGATGCCATATAGTTCAGAGATACCTTAGCAGAAACGGAAAAAAATTAATTTGGGCACAAGAAGCAGACTGTCCATTCTACTGCTATACCAGACTGTATTCAGTGATAAGCCATAAAGAAAGAAATACTTTATGCCATGCCTTGTTAATATGGCTGGAGCTCTGGGAATCAATGTCAAGGAAACTACGTGGTTTGAGATTTACATTGTAATAGTTACTAATGGTTTATTGCTCTTTGCAGGAGATTTCATTCTTAGCTTCTTATTAGATTCTCTATCCTCTGTCTCTGCAATGTGAGCGCTGTCTTCTGAGACTGACGACTGATTTCATTTCATATCCCTGCATTTTGGAGTCTAATTTCTCTTGTTTTGGTTTTAGTGTTGAAGAGTCATACAAAAGGATGGTGAATCCTGTCTGCCAAGAGGTTGATGCCAGCCCCTCCAAGGAAGAGGTTCTCAAGACTGTTCTACAACTAATTAAGAAACACTGCGCTTTTTAAAAGCAAATTTTAAACTGTAGTAGCACTTAAAAGATACTTTTTATTGCCCCACTGGTTTTGGTACTTGAAAATGCACAGTTATGTGTTTTGTCCCACAGAAATATTGAATACAGTTTTATTCTGTCTGCAGTAATCTGTGCAGGTTATCTGTTTAGTTGTTGCTACTCTTCTGTATAAGGCAAAATACTATTCAGGTCATTCAGCATTCTTAGTAAAGGAACAAACATACTACGGTCATGCATGAAGTGCCTCACTGCTTTTCTGACATCAGGACATTTTGAGATGCTATCATGTTGCATCTTCATCACCAGGAGAACCTATTCCCCAATCCATTGTGTACCAAAATTTGCTGCACTGCATCAGGAGCATTAGATGCCAAAGAGTGGCTGAAATATCATCAGCACTAAAGCCATAAAATGATCATAACATTTAGGAACAGAAAATCCAGTGCCCAGTGTTGAGGTGTTGGGGTTTTTTTTGGAATAGAAGATGAGCAGCTGTTGCTGTGATGGGAATCCTGGAAAAAAAATATGTTGTAAATGAGTGCCAGTGAAGACCAAGGGCTCTAAGTAATAAAGTCCAAACCTGTTTATATATCCAAATAAAATATCAATTATTTTCAGAGGGAAACCAGAAAATGACAGCAAATGAGAAACAGATACCTGAGGAGAACCCAAAATGAAAAACTTATAAATGATCACTAAAATATTTTTTTACAAAATTTTTCTTTATCCTATTAATATTTGTTAATGAGACCTAGTATTCTTTTGAGAGAATGTGAAATGAAAAACCACAGAGATTCTGAGCAATGGGAATGATTGCACCTTTTCAGTTCATCTTTCTTTTTGTGTGGGTGTTTGAGCAGGTTGAATGTGAAAGCAGGCTACATCAAGACTTCAGGTCTGCAAAAGCTTATTTTTGTGTGTATTAGTTTAACTGTTGTTACTCCTAAGTGTAAAAGTAAACATATGCATAAGCCTTTGTGAGGTCAGAAATAATCACAGTTCCATTAAAAAAAAAAAATCTTAAAATGTAAATTTGATTTTAAACACTTTTACTTACTTTCCTGTTTTAAGCAAGTGCAATTATAAATGAATCTGTCTTCTAAATAAAAACATACTCGGTACTGTAATTCCTATGTCCAGTCTATATATACAAGGTGATAGAAAGAAAAACTTCTAAAAATACAGTTTATTCATGCACTGTTCAATGGTTTTGAGTATGTTATTAATTTATTATGTAATTTATACATTCTATAAATTTATAAATTCTAGAAATAGATGCTGTTTTGTTTTGTATATTATTTTTATTTCAGCAGCCTTTGGATTTGCCATGCAGCAAACTGAAAATGCATACTTGTAGATGCTCCAATTATTCTAGAAATTATAAGACATTCAGGTAGTCAGACAATAGAAGAAAATCTTATATAGAAGACACTACTGCATATGAATGATCAGGGTGCAAATATGTGCTTGTCCTAAATATTTTGTAGCCTTAGCTGGTCCAGGTAAAAGATCACATGGCCTGAGAAACTCCACTTGCCCTTTCTCCTTATGCAAACTAGCACATGAAGCCAGACTTTACGGATTTTGATGCTGTGTTCTTAGAAGTGTAGGTTTGTATTTGCAAAGGTGCTGGTAATATATATCTGCAAAAACTGACATCAGACATTATCAATTACACACACGCAGAATATATTCACAGTCTAAATTTGTCTATAACCCAAAGCTAATGATGCAGACTAGGAGCACAGGAAAGCAAGGCAGAAAAAACAAACATTCCCCTTTTCAAACTTTTGTTAGAATTAAAGGCCTGCAAGTTGCTCTCTGCCACAGCTTTATGGTTAATTTGCAGACTCACTCCCATACTTCCCATTTCTGTGACATTTCTGCCAGATTTTTGTCCACAGTATCTAAAAATACTGCATTTCATTTACATTTAGGACATGAATCAAAAATAGACACAGAATCAAAAATAATGGCTTAGGTTAGAAGGGACTTAAAGGATCATCTAGTTCCAAACCCCCTGCGGTGGGCTGGGGTACCACCCCTAGATCCGGTTTCTCAGGGGCCCATTAAATCTGGACTTGAACACATCCAGGGATGAGGCATCCTCAACTTCTCTGGGCAACCTGTTTCAGTGCCTCAACAGCCTCACAGTAAAGAATTTCTTCCAATTATATAATCTAAATCTCCCGTCTTTTAGTTCAAAACTATTTAACCTTGTCCTGTCACTATCTGCCATGTGAAAAGTTATTCTTCCTCTTGTTTATAAGACCCTTTTAGGTACTGGAGGCTGTTTTAAGTTCTCCCAAAGCATTCACTTCTCAGCCTGAGCCCCAGCTCTCTCAGGCTGCCTTTGTAGGAGAGGTGCTCCAGCCCTCTGATCTCATTTATGGCCTCCTCCGGGCCCACAGAGATGTTCAAATGTGAGGTTTGCCAATGACTCCTGGTGCACAGGCAGGTCTGGAGAGGAGCAGCAGGAATACACGAATGGCCATCCTGCTCCCAGCAAGAGCATCGCCTGGGCTAGAAACCGACCAAAACTTTTGCTGGACAGTTTGATGGCCACCAGAGGTCAGGATTTTTGTTTAAGTGTTTGAAAGACCTGTAATCTCCAAGTATTTCCATGCAGATTCAGAAACTTAGGCTGTTCCTTGGCATGTAAAAGTGTTCTTCTGTAGCTTTGGAGGATGCTCACTGTGTAGGAAATCTTGTGTAAGGCAGGTTAAGCCATGACACAGTGCAGGCCCATGGCCACCACCTCTGCCAGGCAGTCCTGAGCATGGCCAGCCTGGAGAGCATCCCTGCTTACCTGCAGCCAGCCCATGCTGGACACCAGGAGTTAGTAACAGAGAAGGGCTGTTCTCTGACAGCACCCTCAGGGCAGAGAACATGCCAAAGCCTGTTTCATTTATTACTATTATTACATTTATTACTATTAGTAATTTAATAATTTATTGATTCACTAGCCTTAGGATATGGTCTTGCAAAGACTCTGATGCTACAGTTCTCAGAGCATCTGGGTCATTAGGCCAGTAAATTACACAAAAGAAACTGAATCTCAAGTTTTGCAATTATTCTGTTAAAGCCAGTGAATTCAGCCCTTACTGAATAATAAATGCAATTTGTAAAATTCAGCTGTTTCTTGAAGGACAAAACAATACTTCTGTTGTTGTCAGATTAAACTTTGTATACTTTTCAGTTTAAAATAATTTTCAAGAAATTCAATTTTTATTATTTAATTTATTCTGTAGTGTATATTTTATTTCATAAAACACACTATAGTATTTCAAGCATCTCCATTCTCATTTTTAATCTCATTTGCTTCAATTTTTTTGGTTTAGAGGAGAATAAATGCTAAAATAAAATGGTATTCAGTTGTCCAAACACAGACATCCACAGCAGTTAGTCTCCCTAAGGTATCTGAGATGTCTGCGTGGGGCTGCCAGATATGACACGAGACATTTGGTTGAGCTGTTGATCTGCAGAGTGGCAGCTGGAGGCCTGCAGGGATACCATATGGTGCCTAAAATGGCACTATTCACCCATTTAAACAGTGAGAGGGTTAGAGAGCAGCAGTGCAGCCTCTTTGGGTTGAGTCTACATTAGCAGGTGTCCTGGAACAAGTGGGGATGATCTGTAGCACAGAGGAGCTGGCACGGGGGACCCAGGGTGTGCCCTCTCTGTATTTCAGGTTTATTTTAGACCATCTCTAATCTGGTGACATTGACTGCCCTCATGTTAGCAGCTGTAGTGCAATAAGTGCACTCCTAACACCAGATTTTTTTTGTGTAGCTTTGTCTGGATGGAGTCCAGTTGATAAATGCCAGGATGGTTTCAGCACATGAAGCAAAGCATGGTAAGGATGGGTGGTCAGGAGGAAAGCTGCCACAACGGTCTGCTGGTCCAAGCTCAAGTTCTAATGTGGATATATTGTGTAGAGGAGATCTCTGGGAAAGGTTTCCTTGGAGTCAAAACAGACTTTGGGGCCAGTTTCATCAGCATCCTAATTGACGGCTAAGTTGGAACATGCTACAGTTCCTTTGGTCCATATTTCTGGCCTGCCTGCCAGATATAACCTCTGGACAGGCACAAAGATTGAATTTTGGAGCGGGTTTGACCCCATCCTGCCATAGCATGAGGTATAGCTGTGGCCTCACCCAGGCATGAAATATCCATCTCCACTACATCTATAGTTTCAAACTCATTATGCTCACCATTATTTTCTGTAGAGTCACCAAGCAATTTTATATACAAACTGATATTTTATCAGGTAGGAGTTCACTAGTGCCTGGAACAAGCACATGGAAGCTAGAGAGGCCAATTCTTTGCTAGATTTTCTTCACTGTACTGTGCTTTTTCCGCACAGAATTACCAGCTTCTAAAAATTTGTTGCAAACTGTGTATGCTGCTTCTGCTATCAATTCCTGCCTTTTCAGAGGCAGGAGAGTCAGGACACTTAATGGGACTTTGATGAAAGGAAATATGTCTCTCTCAAAGTTCATGATAAACAAAGTACCCAAGGAGTTTTTATTTTTATTTTCCTTTTTTCTTTTTCCTGTTTATTCAGTCCCAGTTACCATACTTCATTAATTTGAATAGTTGAAGAAACTTTTGTTTCTGCAGGGGGCTGCACTAACTTTGATCTTTTTAATGGAAAGCTTTGTTCAATAAAATTAAATCAGCTCTTTTGTAAAGACAAAGATCATCACCCTCTGGCTTAACTTAACTAAACAGATGTAGGGTTTATGTAAATATGCAGTCAGTGCAATTTTATAAAATAAAAGCTAGAATACCTTACCATTAATGTAAAAATGCATTTTGTGTTACCAGCTGGCCAATAATGACATTTTATTCAGCCATAAAAGTGTGTGTTATGTACTCCAAAGCAGGAGAAATATGGTGAAAAATGCTAAGTCTGCAACCTCATTGCTTATGAAAATACCCAGACAGAAAAGCTGCACTTTAAGCATGTGGCAAATACAAAATGAATTCCAGTATGGTTAATTTACTTTTCCTGCTGCTCTCCCCCTCCCTGGAGCCAGTTACACTGGTGAAAGATTAGTGCAGGCTGCAAAGTGCTTGGGCTTTCAGTTTTATTTAATGAAAGGTGTTGTAACCAAGTAGGCACTGCTTTCCCTGAGGAGACAGAAGACACAACTTTTCCAGATGTTTCAGACCACATCCCACATCTGTAAGTCTCCTGAGCCAGTGCTGAGGCTTTTGTTGGTGATACAAGTACCACACCTCGAGTCCTGTTCTCGAGAGACCCCCACTATAAGAAAGGCATTGAGGTGCCAGAGGACATCCAAAGAGCAACAAAGCTGGTGAAAGGTTCAGACCTTAAATCCTATGAGGAGTGGTTGAGGGAGCTGGGGGCATTTATGGAGAAAAAGGGCCTTGGTGGATATCTTATCACTATCTACAGCTACCAGAGAGGAGGCTGTAGTGAGGTGAGGGTTGGTCTTTTCTCCCAGATAATAAAGCAATAGGACAAGAGAAAATGGCTTAAAGTTGTGCAAGGAAAGGTCTAGATTTTATATCAGAAAAAAAATTCTTAATGGAAAAGTTTGTCCAGCATTGTAACAGGCTGCTCAGGGAAGTGGTGGCCATCCCTGGAGGTATTTAAAAAATGTGTAGGTGTGGTATTTGGTGGTGCATTTGGCAGTGCTGGATTAACAGCTGGACTCAACAGTCTTAGAGGGCTTTCCCAACCTAAACAATCCTATAAGTCTAGAATTCTTTGAGCAAGAACCAAGTCTTCCTTGACTCTGGTGTTGGTCAGACTTGGAGGAGGTTGGAGCAGTAATGATGCACCAGGCTAAGGAGCCTCATCTGCTGATGGAAGCAGATTTCATACTATTGGCACACAGACGATATTGTGCTGATGCCGTGTCTGAAATTTGGTCTGTATCCAGCTGCACGCATTTCTTGTTCCCAGCCAGCAAATTTTTGGGGTGAATACTCCAGTTCAGGATTGCAGCTACCAGAAACTTGTTTTCCCCTCTTGTATTCCAAAGTGCTGGCAGCACAAGCTTCAGACATGCCCGATACCAATCTTGTGCCTCCAAAAAAGAAATCCTAAAATATCTTAAGACTACTTATTGTTTTATTGTTTTCTTCCAAAATGGGATGCAATGCTTCTGTGTTAGGTTGGCAAAAATATCTCCACACCAATATTTTAATTTGAAAAATCAATTCACTC